CAATAATGATAATACAAGTAGTATTATTGCCCACTAAACAAGGCTTGCGCATCCTCAACCCTACAATCCCATCTTTAGAAAGTTATAGGGGCTGATGGAAGTAAAAGCGTGATGTTAACCACATAACTTATCTAATGCTAACTTATCTACAGAAATAGGAATCTAGCATCCTGTGTCCAACGCTCCACTGTTATATAAAAAAATGTTTTTTACGTCGGCTTCTGTTACTTAGGCGTTGCGAACGCGCTTCGTAATTCTGTGGTGCTGTGTTTGATCCCGGCTGCGATCGAATTGACAGCAGACCGTCTTCTGTGGTTTCAACAATTGGTATCAAGAGCCAATCTTTGGAGAGCAATAGCAAACATTTGAAAGTAAAAATTGTCTAGTGAAATCACAGTCAAACAATACTGGAGTTGATTGTGTAATTCATGTAATCGAAACGCAACTAACTGGCCTGCTTAACTTGCTAATATCTTTGTATATGTTTTTTATTCAGCTGTTTTCAAAGATCGTTTAAACGGATTTATACTGGAGAGCTATAATGAAGGTAAACAGTTGGTATTTAGGTACCAAGACAACAACCAGGAAAACGCTACCTACTATATGACAGACACTAAAACAGATCAACGAGTTCGCAGAGTGCATATCTATTTGAAAAGAACCGGAGGCCTTGCCCTATGTGAGGTCGAGGTTTATGGAGGTTAGTACAGTGTCGTCTGCTGTTATGCCTAATAGTAAGTGAATATGGATGTTTGTTATCATTCCGTTAGTATTTTAAAATATAAAATGGTCCACTGTATGTCTCTGTTCGTTAGGTGGCGCTAAGTGTTGCATGCGCATTCGCAACACAGAAACAAAATGGCGACTGTACTTACAGAGTTTACCCTCAAAGAACAACGTGCTGTTGTGCGCTTTTTTGGGTTCGTTATTGTTATGCAAAATGGCTGCCTGCAAAGGATATTAATAAGAAAACGATTCCTGTTTATGCTGTCAAATGTTTATTCCCCCCCCCCCCTTTTTTTTTTGGTCTACTGAAAACCCATGGCGTTAGACATTTCGCGAAAGACGCAGAAGTCAAACGTGAGGTGAAAACTTGGTTTAGAAAACAAAGAACGCAGTTCTGTGCAGCAGGTTTGGGAGGACTGAGAAAGCTATAGGACGTGCATAAATTTTGATGGGAATTATGCTGTAAAAAAAAAACTGACACTGTACGTGTAAAGTAAACTGCTTTCAATTTGTTATCGTCTTTAATGCTTTTTAAAAAAAAAAACAATTATTTGTGATTTTCTTATCGACTTCCCCATCGTACACTGCTGGCATATTTGCATCTTTCTAGGCTATAGTGTACCATTGTATTTAAGATAGGCATGATAATTATAGTCAGCGCTAGACTTGATTTAATGAGATCCTAAACCTCATAAATACTCGTGGCCCCTAACGTTCTAAATTTTACCAGCTCGTCTCAGAAAACTTCAAAATATATACGCCTGTTAAATATACTCATAATGCAAATATATTGTCGTGTAATTGTCGCTGAAAGAAATATTAAAGTGAGTTTGCAAAACCATATAAATTATTATATATAACTTTCTAAAAGGCTCAAAGTTACAACTTGAAACATCTGTATAAATGTAAAATACATTAAACATAAAACCACACTTAAAATATATTAAAGGAAAATTGCATATGTGAACAAAAGTAAATTGTCTGAGGCCCCTGCAGACTATGAGGCCCTAAGGTGTAGCCAAATTAGCTTAAATCTAAATCCAGCATTTATCTCATCTCATGGCCAGTGATGTTCCCCTTCTCTTTAGCACAAAACTGGGAGCTTTTGTAGACACTTTATTTTGCCGATGCAATGTCTTAGTCTGCTTTGTTAACTCAAAGGAAAGATAACACCAATACGTCTGAAAAAAGCATGCCGCCAAAGCTGCAGGATCAGAAAAGCAGTGCTCACTGTGCTGATTTTGGAGCTTCCATCCTAGAAAAGCAAGCAATGAAGGCTAAGATCATGACCTATCCTACGATAACAGTATACAGTTTGCGTTTCCTCTTCCTAGGATGAGGCTAGTATCTTTCCTAAAGAGTTCCTCTGCCTGAGACCTTCAGCGCAGGGGGAATGTCAGTTTTGGTATACGCCACCCGACTTTCGGCGTAAAAAAAAAAGAATAGTTAGTACCGACTACTGTTGTACTCAGTCGCTCAGCCTAAAATTAGAAGTAAAGACGTGATGCTGACGGCATCACTATGTGAGTGCTGATGAGCGTATGAAAAAAAAAGTGTCTTATACCTTTGCAGGATATCAACCCTAAACGTCTGCCATAAAATATATGTACGTCACAATATTTATCTACAGATTCCATTTGCCTGCAAGGTTACTATGGGCGAAACTGTGAGCACACCTGTAATTGTGACCTCAAATTTGACAAGTGTTTTGTCAGCACTGGAGGCTGTCCCTCGGGATGTCCTGTTGGATTTCACGGAGAAGGATGTCGTAAAGGTCAGTGTCATATGCCAGTCTCTTTGACTAAATGTGATATAATTTAATACAGAACAATAACACGTTATTGCTAGTTTTTTCTTCTTCTTCTTTAAATGCATAGACATAACCTAATTTGTTTAATGTTTCCAAAACTTTTATGTACGGGGCTAGAGAGCATACAACTAAAAGTTATGGGATTTGTATAGGATATTGTCCTGCCAAGTAAGAATAGCAATGACGTGCAGAGGAAAACTGATGAGTTCGCAGCTGTAGCAACAAAAGTTGGACTACAAATTAGTTATTAAAAGACAAATATAGGAAAAACACACAAAGAACAGATAAAGCAGATCTAACACTCGAGACAAAAAGTATTAACAGGTGCCTGGGCAGAATAGAGGGAATAAAAGGCCATGATAGAGTCACTAATGATGAACTGTGAAATATAATTAAACAAGTTCCAGTGGACGAAGATTATTAGAAAATGCGCCGGCGTTTGATAAGACACACGTTTAGAAAACCTGAGAACAATATGACTAGAATGTCTTTGCACTGGAACCCACAAAGACATTTAAATAAAGGCACACCCCCTCCCCCCCCCCACAACACACACACATGAAGAAGGAAGGTAGATTGTGAAATTGTATAAAAGATGGAAAGGATATGTGGTGAGCTGCACGCTATAGCGAAGAAATGACTTGGCACGAGTCACCTGAGAGCCTATGCTCCATTTGGGGGGATAGAAGACAGAAACAGAAAACGCTTACTATCATCAAGAAGTGAGAATAAATAAGAGAATATTCGACCAACCACTTGTTTCAGCTATTGAAAGACATTTAAGATGGCACTACAATGGACAAATTCTGAGAAGAGACAACAGAGAAACAAAAACAAGCTCTGGAATGGGAAACTGAAGGACTGGGGAAAATAGAAGGTCCAAGTAAAACACCAAGCGAACGTTGATAAGAGAAGCCAAAAGTGGTGGACTGGATGGTGGGAACGGTATGTGTAAACTATATTGAAATAAATGTGTGTGCCGTCTTCCTATGAAAGTTGGCTACATTGTACCACTTTTGTCTCTGGGAGTTACGTGGTAAGGCCCCACTCTCTACCGCGGAGCGACTCTGGTACCACTGTCTGAAAAGCACGGAAACGTATTTTTTTAAGCGTCTACCGCAAGGAACGAACTCTTCTTTAAGTCCATGCCGTGTGGCGTTGGTAGTCATTTCTATCCACAGCCTTCTGTTTCGTGTACTTTCAATCAAATTTGACACAGACAATCCTCCATGCCTTGATGTCAAACTGTCCGGCACATTCCTACTGTCACGATGTACTCTAGTTTTCTCCTTCTCATCACATGACCAAATAATTTAGATTGTCTCTTTCTGGTGTGGGCAATGAGTTCTCTTCGTGAGTCAGTTTCTTTCAAGATGTCTTTATCACTCTTTAAAAAAAAAAAGGCCAGGGTATTCTCATAATTTGTCTATAAAAGCACTTCTCCGCAGCCTCCAAATAAGTTTTCACTAATTTACTAACTGTCCATGATTCACTTCCATATATCAAGATATGATTTATGTAGATTTTAAGAATTCTTTTTCTCGTCTCAACTGACAAAAAAGATTGCTTGTAATATTATTCATCTTGCAAAATGCTGCTTTTATTTGAGCTATTTCCATTTGATGTTATCTTGGCACCCAAGTACTTAAACATATTAACTTGCTTGAGGTTTGTCCCATTTAGTTTGATATTGCATTTTGGGGAATCAGTTTTCTGTTTAATTACTATTACTTCTGTTTTTCTGCAGTTTAGACTAAGAATCAGAAAACTGTTAACCACATTCGTTCCCCCTAAGCTTTTAAGGTTAAACAAAAAGTAATGGACCTTTTCGGCTTCAGTGACGCAGCGGACGTTAATACTAAAATGATATTTTCATAGACCAATCTGCACTGCACGAGTATTTGATTTATTATCAGGTAGGTCGTCTTTACTTCAGAAACATTTTCATGGGACCGGCTTTAGGCACGATGGATTTCGGAGACATGTTAATTTTAGTAATGTGTCCTAGTGCGGATTAGAACCTAAGATCTTTAGGAAGACAGGTTGGCATCTAGCTATGGCGTGGCGCCCAACAAGTATTAGTCCTGATGTAAAATGTTAGAGACAAGACAAAGAGAAAGTTATCGAAAGGTTCTAAGCTCTCTCTCTCTCTCTCTCTCTCTCTCTCTCTCTCTCTCTCTCTCTCTCTCTCTCTCTCTCTCTCTCTGTCTCTTTCTCTCTCTCTCTCTTTCTCTCTCTCTCTCCCCTCTCTCTGCTCTATCCAGTTAGCATTTTTTTCTTTTATTTCTTCTTTTTTCTTCGTCGTGTCGTCGTCTTCTTCAGCGTTGGCCCTTAAAAAGACAGTCGATACACTGTGTTGTGGTTTACGACTAGGCTGCGATATCCTAATTAGTTGCTCTTCACGGCAGACTTTTTAAAGGGCTATTGATCTCCCCACCCTCCCTCCGCCATAAATGTAGCTCCTGAGCCCAAACAGGAAATGTTACCATTCTTTATAATAGCTGAATAGCTGAGACAATGTTACTTATGAATGTCATTTTCTTCTTCTTTTTTTAAAATCAGGGCTTAGTAAAGTAAATGAAGTTTTAATAACATTTAGACCCCAGTATGTAAGGCTACAATTAAATCCAGAACTCTACAAAGATCTGACCATATAAAGTCATAAATATATGGCTTAGAGGTTAGGGAACGAACTAAACAATCCATGTCATACCAGCAAAGAATGACTGATTCAGGTGGCTGACGGACAGTTGTACAAGAGTAGCACCGTGATAGAGATTTCGACCGCACCTCCTACTATTCCATAAGACAGCATTGAATACACATATAAAATTCACTCAGCCTCCACGATATTAATTGAATAAAACTGTTCATTAATTAATTAATTAATTAATTATTTAATTAATTCATTCATTCATTCATTCATTCATTCATTCATTCATTCATTCATTCATTCATTCATTCATTCATTCATTCATTGCCATGTTGCGCGATTATATGTCCCACAGAGCTAGTGGTCTATATTCCCCATTCGGTTCTATCCCTCGCAATCACGTCGATATCGCTGATGGATTCCAGTCTGGTACCTTTGGCTTCTCTTCTCAACGTTCGTCTTAGAGATATTCTTGGACATCCAAGATTCCTTTTAGGTTACAACAACGGATCAACATCATGGCACATCATGGTAGTAACCCATAAGTGCTCCGTTCTGCTTCTAACTAAAGTCTGAGTCCGAGGAAGCTCAGCACAGTGCACAGGCTCGTTAGCACTGGCGAGGATCCTGAAATAGCTTGTGTGGATTTTTAACTACAAATTTTGCCCGGGCAACACCGTTAGGCTACTCTTTTCGATTTCTAACTGACAAGGGATAGTTTACATGCGCAACAATGCACATGGGCGTATGATCCATCTAGTCAGAGACTAGGGGGAATTACTAGAAGTCCAAGTCCACGTGAAAAAAAATCCCAGTCCTTACCGGGGATTGAACCCAGAACCTCTAGCACTCGAGGCGGTCACCATGCCTCGAGATCACGCAGCACCCTTTTCCCCATTTCAGTAAATGTTTAGGCATTCTGTCAATATAATGCCACCTTTTTAGTCTTATCATTGTTGATACTAGTGGTTGCCCTTATTTTTATCTTATTTCTTCACCCCACTTAACTACTTCCCATTGAATGTTGTGGGTCTATTCTTGTTCCCCATCAATCCCCCTCCCCCAGTGGGGCACAGGAACCCACACGGAAATGTCTTCTTTAAATATGAAGATATTCACACATTTGTGAACAAAGTGTGTGTGTCACTAGTAACTAGTAAAGTGGAAATTTTACGAGACGACTTACAGCAGCATACATAAAATAGAAACACAATTATATATATATATATATATATATATATATATATATATATATATATATATATATATATATATAACTGTGTGTGTGTGTGAGTAATGTGCGGGCGCGAGTGTTTTCTTCCACATTCTTCAAGGTGTATGTAGTAGATTGTGTGATATATTGTTTTGCAGAAGAATTATTAGAAGACCTCAAATTTAAATAGATTAAACTGAAGAGCAGCCCGGATGTTTTGAAAGAGGCAAAGGCTCGAAGAGAACTTGTCACAAACATCAGAAAGAGACAGACGTCCTTATTTGGCCATATAATGAGAAGAAGGAAACTGGAACATGTAGTGTCCATCAATAAGATCTATGAAAAAAAAAAAAAAGCGACAGAAAAAGACAGCAAGAAAATATTCTTGACAGCCATATGTCATGGCATGGATTGATGTCAACACACGAACGTGATACATGCAAATGAAGGTCGCAGACCGTGGAGAGGCATCATCATCATCACCCATGCCAGTCTGCAAGGCTCTCGATGATGATAATGACAATTACTATGCATTACCTAATTCTTAAAAATGCTTTGAAGATTTCGTTTTAAATCAAATTGCATACATCATAATATTAAACATATATTCACGTATCTGCTTCGCCCTGATTGCAATTCATTATGTACAGTCATGTATTATTAATACATTTGCGACGAATTCAGTAATTTTGTTTCATTCAAAACGACTTTTTTGTGCTGTGTGTGTGTGTGTTTTCATTGCTTGTGCTGTAATGACAGCCTGTGTATATGTATGTATGTATGTATGTATGTATGTATGTATGTATGTATGTATGTATGTATGTATGTATGTATGTATGTATGTATGTATGTATGTATGTATGTATGTATGTATGTATGTATGTATGTATGTATGTATGTATGTATGTATGTATGTATGTATGTATGTATGTATGTATGTATGTATGTATGTATGTATGTATGTATGTATGTATGTATGTATGTATGTATGTATGTATGTATGTATGTATGTATGTATGTATGTATGTATGTATGTATGTATGTATGTATGTATGTATGTATATGTATGTATGTATGTATGTATGTATGTATGTATGT